CACTACCAAACAGGTCAGCCCAGATACATAAATTCAAACTGCCAACCTGAAAAATGTCTTCCTCTCGTGTTGTTGTTGCACCGTCACATGACATCAACAATGTATCATGACATCAACATTGTCACATGACAGCAACTTGTCACATGACCGCAACTTGTCACATGGCAGCAACGTTTTCACGTGACAGCAACATTGTCACGTGACATCAACATTGTCACATGACATCAACATTGTCATGTGACATCAACATTGTCACGTGACAGCAACATTGTCACGTGACAGCAACATTGTCACATAACCGCAACTTGTAACATGACAGCAATATTTTCTACTGCAACATTATGTACGTAATCATTATTAGATATAACATGTTTTGGTATTTTTCTTCCACTAATATAAATTTTCAACTTTAATAATTAACAATATTATTTTTGAGCAATCACATAAACGCCAGTTCTAATAAAATGTTGTTAATGGAAATAAAAGCATTAACCTTCCTGCGAAAAATTAAACATAAATCCAAAAATATGTATATAAGTTGTTCAACTCTGATATCCATTCATAAAAACTGAACTTTTATGGGAAAAAACAAAATTGATCATCAATTTTTATTTAGCTGTTTAATAATAACTAAATATTTTTTCATCTTTTTGTAAATATTTGTATTGTATTTAAATTTATTTTAAAAGTATTTTTATAAGTGATGGATTTTTTTTTACAAAATTACATTATTAAATTTGAAAGTTTTTTTTGTAAAATATTATTTCAAAGCGCAATGAGGTGACAATTTTTAATTTTTATTGCACTCTTTCCAATTGATTTGCCGTGAATGATTGAACGTTTGAAACTTCCATATAAACGGCATCTGAAGAGATATGACTGATGCATTAATAAAATAAAAAAAATTTATTAGTTTCTTAAAAATCCAATCAAAGCAGTGTCACAAGCAATTGTTTGACGTGTCATTTTCATGATTAACGCATCAGAAATATGATTGACGTTCGTCGCTGGTTTGTGAAGTTTGTGCGGTCGGTGCGGTCTGTGTGGCTTGTTTGGTGGGTGTGGTTTGTCTGTTTAGTGTGATTGGTGTGGCTGGTGTAGTTGTTGTGGTTAAACTTGTGTGGTTGGTGCAATTGGTGTAGTGGATATAATTCGAGAGTGATGTAGTGAGTGTGGTTGGTTTGATTTTTGTAGTTGGTGTAGTTGGCTTGACTGGTGTGACAGGTTTGTTTATATAATTTGTGGTTGTTGTAGCTTGTAAGCTTGGTGGCGAGTGTTGTTTGGTTGACGATGTGACTTAACTACTGTGGCCGTTATAGTAAAAGTATGCTGTGATATTATTCTGCTGACATCTGCATTTATTTAGAAAACATTTTATTGTGGAGAGTTTTTTGTTGTTTTTCAATGAAGCTATTAATAACATTATTAACCACGACGCCATCAATCAAATAAAAACATCATTGGAGCAGAGATTTTCCCAACAAACTGAACAGCAATGAGTTCCGAACGCACGAAGGACTACAACATCTTCGCAGAAACCAATTTCAGCAAAAAAAACACACAACAGCCAAAATTTAGCCCTAAAATTGAATTTGGGACAGAAGACGTCATGGATTGCCAGCCTGACTGACCCTTTGAGACCTCTATCTCAATTCATTCGCATCTCATTAGCATATCCCTATAAATTTTATCAGCACATCCTTATTCATTTTTTCATCACATCACTACTTATCTCATCAGCACATCACTACTCATCCGATCAGCACATCACTACCCATCTCATCAGCACATCACTACAAATTTCTTCGGCACGTCCTAACAAATTTTATCAGTACATCCGTATTCATCTCGTCAGCACATCGCTATTCATCTCGTCAGCACATCGCTATTCAATAATTTCACTTTTGACGTCACTTTGACAGATATTTCGTTATTTGATTGAATTTGGCATTAATTTATTCTCACGGATGAATTGAAAAAAAAATGAATAAACAGAAATTATTGAAAACATTTATGAATGAACGAATGAATTGGAAGTATGAATGAATAGATGTTTTTTGGTATAGATGGATGGATGGACGGATGGATGGATGGATGGATGGATGGATGGATGGATGGATGGATGGATGGACGGACGGACGGATGGATGGATGGGTGAAATGACAGAACAGACAAATAAAAGTAAAGTTGTGAACCAGGTCATGAAATGGAAATGATGAAGATGGATTGTACAGAACTGGTAGTGGTGATGAATTATGTGGCTGTGTCGACAAATTTTGTTGCAAACTTCAAATTTAAAACCTAGCACATTCTCATTCAACTTTGACTTCAATGGAAGGATGAATTGTGGTGACAAAAAATTGCTCGAAACATCGGCTTGCTTTTAATACTAATTTTCTTCATGGAGTGCCAAAAAAGTGCATACTCCTAAAATTCAAAAATTTCAATCATTGCCATTTTACAATCAGCGTTACGGTCCGAAGTATGCGGGTACAAGCAAAATATCAAAATTTTTTTTTTTTAATTTCACGACTTTGCAATTGCATCTCTCTATTATAATTATTATATTTTTTCGATGATTTCTTCGTAAATAATCACACAACTTTTGAACGTTCCATAAAACTTCGGCAATGTGCCACGAAACTAAAAAAGATTTTTAAGAATTAAAAACTCGAGACAAAAAAAAATGAAGAAAAGAAGATTCAAGTAAGATTGGAGGGTCGTGGGAAGTAGTTGATGGCGATAATGATGATGGATAAGTGGATTAATAGCCGGCAGCTTTGAAATCTTGGTAATGATCCAACAAAAAAAAAGATCAGCATCACGTGGTCTTCACCACCCTACCTACCTTCCACTTCTAAGCTAATTGATCGATAATGACGTCACAATGTCACGTGACTAAATTTTTTTCTTTCTGTCGAGGTTTTAAGTTATTGGATGATCTTCGTTGTCTGCCAAGAGTCTGCGCCACTAATTTGAGTGAGTGAAGGTTGAGTGGTGGCGGGAGAACGAATGATTAAGTGAAAGGGATTGAAGAATAATTTATTGATTGATGAATGAATAAATGAATGGTTGAAAAATAGATGAAAAATTTCGTAATTATTTTTATTAAAATCAATATTGATGAATACATGAAAGACACTTTAATTCATACGAAAGAAATTTTTTAAAAAACCTGTAAATTTTTGTAAATCTGCCTTCTTACGATCTTGATGACCGTTGTTTAGATGGAAATTTCTCCAGCATTTTGACTTTAGGTGATCGTTCACATTTGATCAACTTCATCAATTTTCATCAATAATAATTTTATAAACATTTCAAACTTTCTAAAAGAAGTCACAAATCTTCAATATTCATTTATCCACTAACAAATTATAAACCGTGAAACTACAACGGCAGAAGGTTGAGGCACATTTCTTATAACGAGATGGATCAAACATCATTAATCAAGAATATAAATAATTTAATGAATCAATAAATAAATTGATGGATGGACGAAATAATGAACAAATAAATAAATGAAACTAGCGAATGAACGAACGAACGAGCGAATAATATGATTTTAAAAAATGAGATTGAAGAACTTTAGAGTGGAATGCACTTTTAATGGCACATTTCCTGCCATGGCGTGCAGTCCGGATTATCCTTTATTTCGTTTTTATCCTTTTTAATTAATTTTACATTCGTCGAATTTATGTTGAGAAGTTCCAATTTAATTTTTTTATATTTCAATTTCTACTCATTCAAATTTTCAAATATTATTAATGCCAATTTTAGTTGCTTAAGAGTCAAATTTGCGATAATTGTATCCACTACACTTAAACAACAGCACAGCCTACACAAGACTGGTCAACATAATTTTAGTAGAATGACTTTTTTAGAATTATAAAAATTAGAGCACTTATTGATTGATAACATTTTTAGGTGTTTAGTGTTTGAGAGATTCATTCTCTTAAGATCCTCAACCTCGGATGAATTTGTCACACTCATACTTGCGTTGATCGCTCGGAGACTCAACTTTTAAGGAAACGTCTCGACAGATTTTATAAAATGGATCAGTTTACTGTTTTGAAGATAGTTATTTTCATGAAAGAATTAGCAAACAGGTTATAAAAATATAAAGTGAGATGAAAATTAGGTTTTTTGTTTAATTCATTGTAAATAAATATTCATTGATTTCAAAAAGAAGATATTCATCAATGGTATTATCCGTTATGTTCCATAATTTAAAATACAATCACCCGAACACCTAATTATAGCGAAACCTTCAAGATCATGATGTGAGTTGCTGAACTCTAATTAATATTCATTGGAACGTCTTCAAAAAGGTTGAGCTGTTTGTTTGCAGGTGTGTTGCGCCTTTAAAAATTTCTCATGAAGACGTAAATTTTTTAATAGTTTTTGCGTGCGAATTAATTTCGTTCTTTTTCAGTTCCGTATCACATCATTTTTGAGTATTTTACGGTGATGCTTTGAAAGGGCTGGGATTAGTGGCGAATTTAGGCATAGGCGCACTAGGCGCGCGCCTAGGGTCCCCAGATTTTAGGGGCCCCCAAAACTTGAAAAATGAGTTTTTTGGAGGCTTCAAAATATTTCGCACAAAAAATTTAATAAGTTTGAGAAAAATTAATTTTACATTTTCAGATAATATATTTCATAATTATTTCTAAATATTTTTGAACAACGTATGAAAAAAATTATACAAACAACAATTTATGCGTAGCGTTGCCAAAAATGCGCGCGCGAATTTTCGCTCAACCCTAAATTAAAAATGTAAACAAACTTTTGAATTGTGGTAAAATTCGAACACTATTGGCGCATCTTACGTCACAGATCTCAATTAAAAATTTCAATTCAAATTTTAATTTTTTGCAATAACTAATTGTTAATTGCCAGTTTATTACACTATTTTAATAATTTCACTGTGGATGAATGATCATTTTTCCTTTCTGCTGCTGATTGCAACACAATCGTTTCATTAAAATTAAAAATTTAAAACAATGTCTATGAGACAATATCCCTCAGGTGCAAAAAAACGTGATATTCATAAGAAAAGAAAAGCAGAAGATGCGAAAAACGAAGGCGCCTTGTTGACATTTTTAGCGAAACGACCGGTAACCCCATCATCAGAAACTACTCAAACAGAAATAACAGCTGGTAATCAAAGTGCAGTCGTCTCGGCAACAGCCAGTATGGATTCTGAGTCCTATCCAACAGAATTGCCAGAATCTGAACCGCCGGCTGAAGGTTCTATAGAGGTCGCGAGTAATGAAACTGTCGATAACAACTGTAGTGAAATTTTGACAGATATTGCTATGTGGCCAGCGAATTTGACAGAAACCATGCGTAATTATGTTTTGGATTTCAAACCAAAAAATGTTGGCGACTTTTCACGCGCTAGCATGTTGATGACAGATCGTGGTAGACAATATTTTTGTCATTTGTCTGAATATAACTTTTACTTGACCAAGGCGAATGGCCAAAAAGAAAGACGTGAATGGTTAGTGTTCAGTGAAACTAGTGGAAGTGTTTATTGTTATGTATGCAAACTGTTTCCAAATAAAGCTAGTCAATTTTCAACAAATGGGTGTTCAGATTGGAAAAATATTGCCGCGAAAATTTCTGAACATGAAAATTCGTATGGCCATGTTCAAGCAATGTGCACTTTGGCTAAACGCTTAAACGCAAACGGGCGTATTGACAAACAAATGGCGAAACAGTCAGATG